TGCATGACTTATTAAAGAATGAAGGATTTGTGTGGACAGGTGATGTGACTACAACTTTTGAAATACTGAAATAAGCTTTGATTTCTGCCCCAGTACTTGTTATGCCAGATTTTTCCTTGCCTTTCATAGTGGAGACATATGCTAGTGGTAGAGGTATTGGAGCTATGTTAATGCAACAGGGACACCCTATAGCCTACATTAGTAAATCCTTGGAACCGAGGCACTAGGCCTTGTCAGTGTATGATAGGGAGTTATTGACACTTATTTTTGCTGTCACTAAGTGGTCTCACTACCTGTTGGGCTACCCTTTGCGGTGAGGACATATCAAAAGGCTTTGAAACACTTACTCAACCAACATATTCATACAAACTTTCAGGTGGCTGGCATATCAAAATTGATGGTTTTTGATTTTTCCATAGAGTACAATAAGGGCTCTGAGAATAAAGCTGCTGATGCCTTATCCAGGAAGCCTGATGCTGAGCTATTAGCTATTTCACTTCTTACTCATAATGATACGTTGTACCAACAGATCAAGGACACTTGGACACAAGATGTTACATTGCAAGAGTTGATTGTTAAGTTGCAGGTTCAACCTTTCAAGTATTTTACTTAGTGCAACGACCAACTCAGATGAAAGGGTAGACTAGTAGTTTGACATGATACGCAGTTGAAGAATACTATAATTACATTATGGCACTTTACTCCTCAAGGTGGACATTCTGGAATGGATGCAACTATCAGGAGAATTCAATCATTATTTTATTGGAAGTCTCTTGTTCAGGATATTAGAAACTTTATCCACAAGTGTGATGTTTGCCAACGGCACAAGTATGATGTTGCTGCTTACCCAGGGTTGTTACAACCCCTGCCCATTCCCGAAGGGGTGTGGACTGATGTGTGTCTTGATTTTATTAAAAGGTCTCCCTAAAACTAAGGGCAAGGCTGTGATATTAGTGGTTGTGGATCGACTTAGTAAATATGGCCATTTCATGAGCTTACAACATCCTTATACTGCCTAAGATGTAGCTCAGTGTTACTTAGATAACGTTTTTAAACTCCATGGTATGCCTGTTACTTTGACGAGTGATAGGGATCCTGTTTTCCTCAGCTCATTTTGGAAGGAGTTGTTGACTCTACAAGGAGTTCAGTTGCAACTATCTACTGCATATCACTCCCAGACTGATGGGCAAACTGAAGTACTGAACAAAACTTTGGAAACCTATTTGAGATGTTTTTGCTCTGACAAACCTCTGCTTTAGCCCTCCTATCTACCCCTTGCAGAGTGGTGGTATAATACCACTTATCATACTGCTATCAGATGCACGCCCTTTGAAGTTTTTTATGGTAAAAAACCACATATTCATTTCTCTTATTGGGTTGGAGAAGTTGCTAACGAGATGGTTGACAGGTCCTTGGAAGCACGAGATACAATTATTGAGTTGCTTAAGTTTCATATCAGTTGGGCACAACAAAGGATGAAGGACTTGGCTAACAGACATAGATCAGACAGGGTATATACAATTGGTAACTGGGTGTATTTGAAGCTGCAACCTTATAGAAAAGTTTCAGTGGCTGCTCGACCTTTCAACAAGCTAGCAACAAAGTATTATGGCCCCTATATCATTGACGCACGGGTTGGTGCAGTGGCTATAAATTGTTGCTTCTTGTTGATGTGTTGATTTATCCCATTTTTCATGTTTCTTAGCTCAAGAGATGCCATGAGGTGCCTAGGGACATTTCTCATCCTCCAGTCCTTCAACTTTCCAGTCCCTATTGTCCGACGCCGGAAGCTATACTTGAGAGAAGGTTGGTTAAGAAGGGTAACAAGGCAGTGTGTCAAGTGCTTGTCCAGTGGTTAGGTTTGGCAGCTGATCAGGCAACTTAGGAATATCTTTCTGAATTGCAGCATAGATTTCCCTCTTTTCAGCCTTGAGGACAAGTCTGTTCTTTACGGAGGGGTATTGATACAAGTTAGCAAAAAGAGAACTAATCGATAACTAATCGCTGATGTGGCAAATTCTGTTAACAAGTCCAGAAGTTAGTTAGAACAGTTAGTATTGTTAGATGGTTAAATTCTGTTACTACTGTACCTATGGATTTTAACTGTTTTAGCAATCTCTAGGAGCCTATAAAATGATTGTATTAGATCATTGACATTCATTCATTGATAATAAGATTGTTTTCTTCTCTCTACAATTTTCTCTCTAGCTGAATTCTCGGGTTTAATCCCTGAACTAGCTGTTCATATTCCTTGAGATTACTACTAGAATTTGTTTCTTCTCTGTAATTGTAGCAAAGGCAGAGTGACCTTTCAAAAAATTAGCTCTCGACTAAGAGCCGCTAGTTTGAATTGGTTTAAAAGTTGATCAGACCTATTTTTAAGTCAATTTAGCTTTTAATAGTGTTTGACAAATTTAAAAATAACTTAAAATAAATTTTAAAAAAATTATTTTTTTAAGTCAATTCAAACATGCTTAATAATACTCCTTTCTAGTCCAAAATAAATACTACTCCCTCCGTTTCAAAAAGATTGGTCTGGTTTGACTTAGCACGAAGTTTAAGAAATTAAAGAAGACTTTTGAATCTTGTGGTCCTAAATTAAAGTTATGTTAAATGTACAAAATTGTCCTTAATCTTGTGGTCTTAAACATGCCACGTGGAAAACAAAAAGTAAAATGTTACCAAAAAAGGAAAGAGGTCATTTTTTTGAAATTGACTAAAAAGAAAAGAAGGTCATTCTTTGTGAAACGGAGGGAGTACTAAATTAAAGCACCACGTGGGTGTTCTGGCTAACTCAAAGTAAGTAATAATTAGAGTAAACAATATTTTTTTTTAAAAAACCCTCAATCCTTTAAAATATACTCCTACTATATATGATAAAGACATGTGCAAACAGTCATCATCTATGGTTGAATTCATCATTACGATAAACAAAAAATAATAATATAAAAATGGAGCGGAACCCGCTCCCCTAGCTATAAATACATTCCTATTGAATCCAATATTTCACATAAAATAAATCATTTTTGCTATTCCATATTATGGCATTGTCCTACTATAATATCTTTCCATTTTATTGCTTTCTTCTCATAATAATATCAACTAATACCCTAGCTAAAACCACTTTTCATCCTAAAACACATTTTCTTGCAGTAAAAAAAGATCCAATTAGCCTACAACACATATCTGAAATTCAACAAAGAACACCTTTGGTTCCCCTTAAATTCTCAATCCATCTTGCTGGTGCTAGTGTATGGGTAGATTGTGAAAAAGGGTACAATAGTTCAAGTTACAAGGCAGCTCGTTGCAAATCAAGTCAATGTAAACTTGCTAGCACCACACTATGTGGAGATTGTCTTGTGGGATTAGCGGAACGTGGTCCAGGATGTAACAAAGATGCATGCTATAACACTATTGAAAATCCACTTGTTCAAATCTTAACGAGGGGTGAAATCGCATAGGATGTTTTGACAATCAAATCCATTAACGGATCTTTTGTAGGTACATGTTTATTATTTGTTGACAACTTTTAATATTCTAATTTTATGCTTGACATGTTTAAGACCACAAAAAATTAAAGGGCATTTTTATTCCTTGCACCTTATGACCACGAGATTCAACCACTTTTTTTTTTTCCAGGCCCTGTTGCAACCATACCGAACTATATATTCAGCTGCGCTGGATCATATGTAACTCAAGATCTAGGTAAAGATGTTAAAGGAGCAATTGGTTTTGGACATCAAAGTGCAGTATCACTTCCTGTTCAACTTGCTTCAGCTTTCAAATTCACCCGAAAATTTGCCATTTGCTTGAGCTCATCAACAGAGCGAAATGGTAACAGCCCTTACTTGCTTAACAGTGGCTTTGATGCCTCGCGAGATCTTATCTACACACCTATACTTACCAGCCCATACGACGTTGTACGAGACAAGAAGATCTCCGAATACTACATAAAAATTTCATCTATTAGCAGCATCAATGGCAAAAATGTGCCAATTAATAAAACGTTACTCTCATTGGAAAAACAAGTGTTTGCCTTATACTATGTTGGCGAGTTCTATTTACAAGGCGGTAACAAAATCTTTTGTTAATGAAATGCCAAAAGAGGTTACATCTGTACCTCCAGTTGAACCATTTACAACTTGTTTTAACTCGAGAGATATTGGTATGTCGCGCCTTGGCTTCAATGCTCCTGAAATTAACATAAGAAAAATGTGCATTGGACTATAACTGGAGCGAATTCGTTGGTGAAAGTTAACGAGGATGTTGTATGTCTAGCCATTGTTGAAAGACGAACTAGAGATTGGGGAGAAGCTATTATTATCGGTACGTATCAAATGCAGGATAACTTGGTGGAATTTGATATTTCCAGAAGAAGAATTGGTTTCAGTAACTCGCTATTATTCCATCAGACTATGTGTTCCAATCAGAACTATACTTAATTAGCGCGTCAAGCGTAGCTTGATCGATTACTATTTCTTCTTATGTCGCAATAATATGAATTATTCTGCTTGTAAGGCTCTGTTTAACCACTTTCATCCATGATGCCCTAGGCTTATTACTATGTTAGGTGTTATAACAAAAATGATGCCTCTTTTTGGATGTATTATATTACTAGGTTAGGTTTGAACAAGAAGATTCCTTAACCTTTGTCCCTTGGGATAAAGTTTCGATGTTGTTCGAGACCTCATCACATTACATAATTAGTACTCCAAACTCCAAAGACATAAATATGAACAATTAACTCTCTTTAACTTATCACCTAAAAAAATGTAAATAAAGGGCAAAAATAGAAGAAATTTCCAACAACTCTCTTAAACATTGAACATTGATAAAAGGCTCAAATATTCAATTATTATGGACTAGAGGGAGTAATACTTTGTAAGTTTGTAGTTGTTCTACATGACCAAATACTACATTTATTTTCTACACCAAGGCATATCAGTAGAAAGTAGAACAAGATTTGCCTTCAATACAACAAAGAAACTATCTTATTTTTCTGAAACTGAAGATTTGAGATGTATGGCCAACAAAAAAAGAAAAGCATCTTTTGGAAGTCATTTAGCTGTCTGCTCATTTCTTTACAAAGCCGACGCCCTTCTGAATACTTGTTGCCAGCTCTTTCTTTGCCTTCTCAAGCCCAGTCCTACAAAATTTTAGTATATTGAGAAAAATCTGACCAGTATTTTCACAATGAACATGACAGTGATTTCATGGGGTAATTGATCAGAACATTAACCTCTCGTATTCATTTAGGGGACCAAGGGGGAATATCTCTTCAACTCCGCTACGCCCAAGCCGTACTTTTGATGCAAAAAATGGAAGTTCGGTCACCTATAAAGACGATTAACCACCACTACTAACTGTCATGAACCCCCAAGTTGTCAATGTTCCAGAATAAACTTATGTGATGTTAACATATACAAGCTGCAGAGGAACTTTAGCATGAGAATGTTTAAAATACATGCCTGGGAAAACACAAAGGCACATTGAATAATAGCAGCATCTCCTCTCAATCCATGCAAACATGCATCAGCAAATTTAACCGCAGCATATGCCTGAAAAGTTAGGAAAGACTTGTCATTCAGCATTGATGTGGATGATTTGAACTCTAAACAGCAATGTAAGAGAAAATTGAGATAAAGAGTGCAAAAATGTTCTAACCATAGAGAGAGTTGCCGAACCAGCACCAGCTTTTGCCTACAAAAAAGAGCATCATGTCCATTCAACAACAAATGAATTCCACCAATTGAGCTAGCTTAGTCAGTAAATTTCTGGTGCTATGACAGACAAATAAACCATGATATACACAATCAAGAAATTTGTTTGTTTACAAGAGAAGAGTAACAAGAAAAGGTAGGATGATGGAGAAAGATGATTCTATCCAGGAGAGAGAAAGCAGCTTATGGGCAATGGAGTTACGGCATGATGCTTGACAGGCTAGTACTGCATATTAGAAGTAGAAGATAAGGACTGTCCTGTGCCATTATATTACTGTTGCGGGAGGAAGGGAGAGTAATAAAATCATATAGTAAGGACTGAAACCCCTATAGGTTGTGATTGTGACATCTAAACGTGCAATGTCATATAACACATGCCTAACCATAGTTGCGTGGACTCTTCACTTTTGATGCCGCACCCGTCTCGGATTCTTCAAAAATACACTACTTTTGGCGAATCCGACACGCACCAATTGGCATTTTGAAGAGTCCGAGCAACATAGTGCCTAACCATTATTTGAAAGGATGAAGTTTCTCAGAAACTGATTTTGTCAATCATGGAAAAGACAATATGGGCAAAAATATGATTTAGGAGACGACAGGCTAAACATCCAATATGAGATAAATCAGGAAATAGTATTCTCCAACTGCTGCAAAGGATCGGGGCAACTTTTTAAGGAAGATCTGAAGTCAACGAACCTCTTTAACCATGTAGTCTATGGTAAGTCAAATATACACAACAAAGACATTATTCAACAAGATCTTTGGAAACAAAAACAGTAAGGGAAAAGCAACACCGTCGGCCAGGCACCACAACTATTTCAATATAACAACCAAAAAACTCATTTAACAAGTCTTCAATTTCATCTTACCTCGACAACCTCAGTTCCACCATTTTGTATACGAGATGTTAAATATTCAGTTTCCGCTGGGGTAAAAGAACGAGGAGGCTTAATCTGAATTCCATTAGACAAGTGATAAAGAAATCCGAGGTTAGTAAGATCCCATGAACAAGCTATACTCGGTTTGAACTAAGTTTACCAAACCTGGGAAAGAAGAGGTAGAATTGTAACACCAGCATGGCCCCCGACAACTGGAACATCCACTTCCCTAGGATCAAGCCCCAAAACTTCAGCCTTCATAACATGATGGAGATTAGACCAAGCAGAAACTCGACATAAAATGCCAAAGAACAACTCAAAGAGCATTCAGTTGGTACACACAAAATCATCCATGTCACTTCTATTGTTCTTAATTTTTTGCCAATATAATGTTCAGCAAAGGTCATCCGTATGTCTCCCAAAATAAACCAGGATTAGATGGCTGATAACTGGCCTCAGTTCCACAAACTAATCAGAAGTATGTGGCATTCACCTCAGGTCCTTGTAATCTATTTATACTTGTACACAAGGTCAATAATGCAACAGGTCTGTGAAGCATAAGAAGTAACAGCCAGTATATGCTCTTTAAAATGAATTAGGTTAAAATACTAAAGACTAAAATACAATAATACTCCACCAAATTCTATAGCTTTGTCCTAAAATGGATATAGAGAGTAAAGAAGAAATTAAAATGTATTTTGAAGAAAAATTAGTCTACAGTAGATGTCAGGTTTCACCAAGTCTTATTTGAAAGGATAAAAGGGTGACCATTAACAGCTGAGCTAGTACGATATATAAGAGAAAATGAATAGTGGGTGATTTTTTCATTCAAAAACTTGGACCTAATTTTGGGACAGATCAAAAAGGATTTTCTGGATGGAGGTTGTAACATGGTCCAATCAATCTTTCCCCCAAATAGTCGGTCAAGAAAAGCACTTGTTTATCGGCTTCTAGCTTTTTAAACATTGAGTAGCTGTTCTGTTCAATGGGAAGCGGAGGAGGGAAAATCACAAGAGAATCAGTTCAGAAGGTTATGCATACCACAAAAGTATTGGCTCTGACGACATCAAGCATAGTGACACCTAAAAGTCTCCTGGGATCAAAGGTGCCAGCCATCTTAAAAACCTCTGCAGCAATTGGTACTGTAGAGTTTACAGGATTACTAATTATGTTGACAATGGCCTTAGGACAGCACTTGGCAATTCCTTCACATAAAGTCTTCACAATTCCTGCATTTATGTTGAAAAGATCATCTCTTGTCATGCCTGGTTTTCTAGGAACACCAGCAGGGATTACTACAAGGTCCATGCCAGTGAGAGCATCTTCTAATTGTTGAGGTCCTAGAAAACCACGAACCTGAAAGTCGAGAAACTCAAGTTAATTATTAAAAGACAAAAGAACAACATTGATCAAAGTTATAGCTAGAACGTACACAACATCATAGTATGGGCTGTCTCAGCACTAAGCAATCATCAACATGCAATGTAGAGCAGAGTTGCAAAAGGCAAAGTTTGGTCTCGCCTCAGTTTGAGGTAGTGTCTAAATTCCCCCGAAAGAACAATGGGGGACAAAAATTTCACGAGTGAACACCCCTCTTATTGGCATACTAGCATCAATGTAACCATTCCAATGTTGTGAAATGCAACCAATTTCCAGTTTGTTGTGCTATTTTTCTTTTTCTTCTAACATCTCAACAGATTATTCAATTTTTCAGTATATATTCAGCAATGAATTTATGAGTACTATATTCATCGGACCCTTTAGTAAATTTCATAGTAATCCTCCTTACATGACTTTGAAATGACAGTTCTGGTAGATGCACTAGGATGGTCGGTCGGCTTTAAACCCAGTCAATCAACTAAACCTCTACCCCATATTAGTGGGGATCAGCTTTATGAATCTCTTGTTCTTTCCTCTTTATTCAGGTACATTACATTCCAATACTATATAGTTTGCTTTCAAGGCAAACCCGGGGTGCTCTAAAACTAAAAGTTCAAAACTATTTTCCTACATGGACATCCAAGTCTTTAAGACAACAACTACTATGCCTCAGTCCCTAACAAGTTGGGATTAGGCTATGCTAATCCCTACTGACTATGTTTCCCATTTAAATTCATCTCAAGCCAGAAGAAGAAGTTTCTTACAAACAAGTCTTCACCCAGAAAAAAGAATCTCATAGTCAAAGGATCTAATATAAGTGTAAGCCTTACCATTAAACAATATCCCAACTAGTCTTATTGCCTTTATGCATTCTTTACCTTGATGTGCTCTATTCTTAAAGAAGTGCAATTCATTTCGAATGACCGATAGTCTTATGAGATATTTCCTTCCATAAGACTTGCCTAACTCGTATCATTTTATGATCTTCCATAATCATATTGTCAATACCTACAAACCGATACATCTAGAAGTCTATAAATAACATCTAAACATCATAAGAGACCACCTATCATTTTGTCATCTACGTGTGTTAAATTCCGCTTTATGTTGGATGCGATCATCTCTCATCTTGTGCAACCTAGCCATACATCCATCTTAATACTCACATTTCTGCAAACTCATATTGTGAATATGTTGGGCCTTAGACGCCCCCATTCAGCATCAATAACATTGATGGTTTTACAACTATTCAATAAAAGCTACATGGTTTTATCACATAACACTCCATTAGCTGTCCTCTAATTTGACAGCTCTGTTTTTCATTACTGCCTCAATTTTGCAGTTCCATTCAAAGTAAAGTTTTCACATTTATTTAAAATAAAACAATAATAGAATACAAACTATGTGCTTACAAACTCAGTAATTCCTTAGAAAAACAAGGGAAATAGGGAGAAAAATTACCACAGCACCAGTGTCCATGTGGCTAATATCAGCAGTTACACCAGGGGTATTTGCAACATCATAAAGATGCAGAACCGAAACCAAGGGATTCATCTTCATAAGCATTGCAAGTGGTTGACCAATACCTCCTGCAGCACCCAAGATCGCAACTTTGAATCCCGGAGAACCCCCTTTCGCCCTGCAATTAGCTGCGCTCAATCCCTCCATCTTGAGCCCCAAATGACAAAACATCACCGATCAATATAAGAGTAAGAACAAAGTAGTACTATATCATTTTACTATACTGTAATTGATCAATTGTTAAAAAAAGAAAAAAAAAAAAGAGGCTGAAGAAACCTGGTGAGGAGAAGTATAAGGGTTAAGATGGGCTGAGATGGTGGCGATTCGTTCAGCACTGCGCTGCATATTGGATTTCGTTTGAGAATGAAATTATTTAGCGAGAAACAGAGGCAGTTGAAATCAATTTAGTTTCTATTTTTCCAAAGAGAAAAGATGAAATGATTTATAAGTAGAGCGATCAAGAAGAAGAAACCGGAATGATGACGACACCCTTTATTGAGATGTGTGAAATTGGATTTAAAGTTTTTTCTACAGACTTATCTTCACCGATCTGGATTGCGGGAATTGTTAATCAATTCTAAACAAATTGGGTATGAAATTTTATACCGCTAATGATATGAAGTGGAAAATAGACAAGTTTTATTTTTTCACTTAAAAAGGAAAATTAGGCTCTATGAGAAAATTCTAATGCTACCTAATTTATATTTTATTCCATTTAGTTTATATTTGTGTAAGAATATTTTTATATAAAATGATATATTATGTATAATTATTTTCCGGTATATATGGTAGGTAATGTATATCATACTACTAATAGTAATGTTGAATGAATATTTTGAAAGTTTCCCTTTTCTTAAAAAAGAGATTTTTAGAAAATATTATGAAAATCAAACTTAATATATATTATAATTGATGATATTATTTTACTTCAAAATGTAGAAATAATTACTTTACAAAATATATACGACCTCTAACAAATCCCACTAACTTGGACATTTGTCAAATAACTCTATCTATTGCTTTTTCTTCAAAAGAATTCTTCCTTTTGTTACGGTTCTCTTATGGCTTCCACAACTTTTTCATATATATATATATATATATACCAAATAATGTACCCAAAAAATATACCATACCATTCCTAGTTGTATGTATGTAAATAAATACATTTTACTGGGGTGATATATACACACTCGTATATATGTCACTATATGCTGATGTAATAATTAGAAATTTTGTTTCTTTCGTATAGGGTGTGTTTGGTATGAAGGAAAACATTTTCTGAAAAATGTTTTTCAACTTTTCCATGTTTAGTCGGCTTAAATGTTTTGATTTGAATGATAGTTTTTAGATTTCAATACCAAATTAACTCGATCCATTTTAATTTGTTTGTTTGAATAAAGAGGGTCAGTTATACTTACAAGTATTAACGTAATTCTTCCTTACTAGATCTAATCCTTCCCAATATAGGGATTAGAAAAGAAAAAAACTTTTCATAACGAATTCATTGCTTGAAAGAAAAAAAAAGCAAAAGATATATGTTGTAAATTTCGCATCCGGATGAATCGTTTATTAGTTTGATGTCAATCTAATTCATACTAGTTGAACTAAAGGTAATTTGACCATTTTGCTTAAATTAAAGATTGAGGTGCTAAAACGAGTGAAAGGTTTAATGCATAGTTGACTTCTTAATTTGTAACCAAATTCCTTCAGCATATCTTATTTTTATTATTATGTGTAATCGCTTACACTTTAAAGGTAGAATAGATGAGTGGACCAGACTGAATATGTCATTTGGTAGAAAGAAATAACTATGTGCACAAAATAGTATAGGTAATTCGAATTTGAAGATTATTGGTGTGCAAGTACGCTAAAACATTAGAAAATTGTTAAAATACCGATTATCAATTAATCAACTATTAATCATTAACGATTCAATTTTCAATTTAATCGTTATATAAAAAAAATAAAATCATGCATGAAAAAATGACCGACAAGAGAGTATTGAATAAGCATTTTTCAAGCTACATCGACTGATAAAGTTATTTGTGCGATTTGCGAACATTGCTAATACAATATTCAGTGAAGCGTGAACATTGAAATAATACTACATTCAATGAACATTAAGAACAGGGAAGCATCGTTTTGACTGGTGTAAAATTAGTGTGATTTAATCATTATTCTCGAAATATCGGTTAATCTATTAATAAAATATTCTTAATTGTTATAAAGCATCGTTTTGACTGGTATAAAATTAGTGTGATTTAATAATTATTCTCGAAATATCGATTAGTATATTAATAAAATATTCTTAATCGTTATAAAATTAATAACTCAATAATAAAAATATTTAACCAATATAGAACCATTAAACTAATAACTCAATACTAATAAATAAGTAGCATTTCTTTTGTTTCGAATTATCGATTGTACCCAAAACATGCACAGCCTTAGATAAGCCTCTCACTAGGGTAAAGTGCACAAATACACAATTTTTGAGATCGCTATTTAATTAACTTGTAGCCGAGATTGTATTCATTATTTGCAAATATACCAACTTTGGAAACCCTTCAGCCATACAAAACTAAAGTTGTAAAAATTTGTGTTTAAAGTCTGACAAATTTCAGACATTTAAAACTAGAATTATAGTCATGTCAAGGCCCAAATTTCAGGCATCTTTTGCTTGAAGTTGTGGTCTTGGCAACGCTAAAATTTAGACATTAATTGATTGCACTTCCTACATATAGTGGCTTGCTAAAATCAACACATATTGTTTTACTAAATTGTGGCCTTGATTAGGTCGACTCAACATTTTTTTTTAATTGAAATTGTTCCGATATATAAAGACTGCACTTCAGCCATTTTAACATGAAGTTCAAGCATATATATGACTTCTTTTTCATATATTTTGCGCATAAAGTTCATGTAATAATTTTTTTGTAGATACAATACTCAAATGATCTATCTTAAATAAGCTTAAATTTATAATATAAGTTTCAAATAATATAAAGAATCAATCTCAATCATCAATTTGTCAAACAATAATAACTATAATAATCTTATTTTAAAACAATGGTGATTTGTCAATATTTTCAAGCTTTTCAGAATAAAGAAGCGAAAGAAACATAAGAAAGAGGATGAGGAGAATAGTTCTTCTTGGGAAGTCATTATACGACAACTTCAATATAAAAAAAGTGTATGAAGTTTGGTTATTGTAAAGTTAGGACTTCATTGGAAAAAAAGAAAAGGATGTGAAGTTGGCATTGCCAAATCAGATCAAACTTCAGGCAAAAACATTATAAGTTTGACCTTGACAAGGTCACATTTTAGGAAAGAAGTATCCTTGCCAAACTTCAAACACACATTATGCAACTTTATGTTGAATAAGAAGGAAGCAGATGATTGGAACATGTCCAATGAAGCTGACAAATTTATAACACTGCTGTAAAATTAGAGTTACACTAGGATTATACTACTTATATTAATTAGGATTATATTATGACTAGGATTAAATTACGATTAGGATTATAGTACAATTAGGATTAGATTATTTATAATTGCATTATTATTATTATTATTATTATTATTATTATTATAATAATAATAATAATAATAATAATAATAATAATAATAATAATTTTTGCATATTGGCATGGTTCAAATTGCTTTTAAACCTTTAACTCTTAAAGGGTTACCAAAAACTTTCTTAGTTGCTCTACAAGATGCAAGGAATTTAAATTTTCGTCAATCCTTGATGGGTTCAATAGAATCTACGGTGGCTTATGGTCCAGTTTATTTTAATGTTCAACCCAATTTGCAGTTATTTTTGACTGATTCTAATATATTAGATGCTTTAACCTTGAATGTTAAAACGCATGGTTATAACTATGCACCTGGATCTGAATTAATTTGCTTGTCGTATAGAATCTATTATAAATTACTTGCTATTTTGAATCCTAGATGTAAGTTATATGATACATCTGATCAAACTATTTTAGTAGAAACTAATTTCGCCAGATATAAGGTCACTACTAGAAGACCTATAAAATGGGAAGAAATTAATTTTCCTACCACTTGGATTTTAGATTCTGTTATATCCCCTGAGCAAATGACCGATGCTGTCACTAATTCTGAATATTCTCATATTAGTCAAAATTCTGATGGAAAAATTTGTATGCAGTTTGATGAAAAAAGTGTTCCTTATAGTAGACATTCTTTTGCTTCTGATAGAAGACTGCTATTCAACATATTTCTCCGATAGAACCTTATTATAGTCCAGCTAGAAATCGCGCTGCTTCTTTACATACTTTATCAACAGTTATATCTGCAGAAAAACAAAAAATTAAAATTGATCCTCGGTTAAACATTGTTCAAACGAATGATAAAGCATCCGATATTTCTGATAAGGATATTCCTTCTGTATCCGATATGGATTTTGATACTTAATGATGAGTGAACATCGAATTGATTTTAGTCCAGGTTCGCTGGCAAGAAAATATATTCAAAACGAATTTTTAAATGAAAAATGGAACCGGTTTAAAACTTGGTTTTTTGACACTTATAATAAAGAAGATTTAAATAATATTTCTCAAGAGTTTTATGAAACTTGTGCATTACATAATCATATTATGTTTTTTGTGCCTTGGTTTATAACCACTTATTTGCCTTTATTCATCAACGTTCTTGAACGATCTTACAAAGATGAATCAGGTAATATTATTCAATCCATTAATCCTCCTCAAGCTTCGTTTATTTTACCAAATAATTCTGGTATTACTTTTACTGCTTTTCATAAATTTATTGATAATGATGTCGCCACAGTAAGTATAAATGAAATTAATCGTCTTATTTCTCAAAATAATTATTTGGGTCTATATGTCAAAGTTATTGGTGAACATATTTGTTCTCTAGACAAAAAAAATAGATAGCCTGTCTAATCTGATTGTTCAAATTGATAGTAAGCTAAAATATGTGAAACAAGTTTCGGAACAAACTTCTTCGTCAAAATAGCCTGATGTTCATATTCAAAGGCCCCCTGAGATTCAGGATTTTATTCTTAGACCTTTGCACGACCTTGAAAATCTTCTTGATAAAAAGTTTTCTCAATTTGGTGCAAGTGCGAAACCGATAAGTCTCGTTGAAGACTTTGTAGATGAGATGGAAGCCACTTTTGATTTCAAAACTCAAATGGAAATGGAAGTTAATAAACTTCATGGGTAGCCAAAGAAGAATAGTGGTAATACTGCTTATGCTAGAAAACCTAGCATGCAAACATATTACTATCCCAGGCCTACTCCTCAAGATGTTTTAATAGAGGAAAGAGATTGGAATCAAACTAACACTTCTTATAGTGGAAGTGAGATTTAAGTCATTTGT